ACTGTTGCAAATTATTTGAAAAAGAAGTGCAATAATTGAACAGATTTTCTGCCGCTTTAATCGCGAACTCTTCGAAATTGTTTTGTTGGGAAACGTTAGCGTTCGGGTCGGCCGTCATCTGCGAGATGGCGGCCAACGGTTCCGTCGAAATGCCGATCTGTGCCACGTGTGACACAATCGGTTGCGCGAAACCAAAGCCGGTGGCGACCGGTGGGCCCGCTGTCGACCCTATTTGAGCAGCAATTCAAATGGCATATTATTTGGTGCATCGCTTCCAATGCAAAGACAACACAAACCGTTTAAATCATTCAATTGTTTCAATTTTGTGATCTTGAATATGGCCGACGGCTTGTCATTGGAGATGAAGCCCAAGTAGATCCACGTCGGCGGCGATGACGGGTCCGGGAAACTGAAGTACACTATCGTTGCCGAAAAGCAATGCATTAGAAGTGTCTATATGTGACAAATGTGGCGACAAATGGATTACCAGATCCGGCCATCCCTTCGGGAAAGGGTTGAGTGCCGGTCATGAAGACGACCACGTGGTTGATGTCATCGGCGTTTTGGATTGTAATCAAACACTTGTTCACATCCACTGACACGAAGTCCGTCACAACCTATCCTTTGACAACAACAACAAAAACAAGACAATCAGTGGTAGACATGATATGAATGAACGCTTGTATTGATTGCATTACAAGTCTTCCCGAAACGATGAGACCAAACATATTGACCGCCATTTCAGCCGATAATCCAATCCTTCAAATGAACGCAACTTTCAATTCAATCGCAAATCAATTCAAAACATAAACAATAAATCAGTTGTTATTCACTGAAGACATCCATTGAGTACGTCTTCCACACCTCTCACACTCTCTTCAGCTGCGAATCAATTGACAAACCATTTGAAGACAACTATTAATTATGTAATCATTTATTAATAATCAATTATTATCTCAATTGATATCAAATGCATTTCAAACACGTCTTCTACCAATTGATCCGTCGATGAAAATGTAGACAAAATTACGTTATTTGTGGACAAATTGGAAATATAGTGACAGCACTTCCCGTCGTTCACGAGTGGACACAAACTCAAGACAATTGGATGGACTGTAAGGAGTGATGCCATCAATGGATTCAACCATTACTCGTGTCATAGTATAAGAGAAAGAGCGGATCCGATGAAAGTGTGGCACAAAACTCAACTCAAGATGTGATGAGCGGTCAAATTGAAAGTTTGAATTTTGACCACAACTCCAGTCAAAGAGTATTTAAGATAATGACACAAGAAGTGCAATAAAGACAATCATTTGATCCAAATATATGACACCCATTGAGACGAGTGTTGAATATTTGAAATGAAAGGTAACGATTGAGTCGTGGGCTCATACCTGTGCCCTCGTGAGGATCAATCATCACCACTGATCTGATCCGTACCTGACCTTCGAGTGGATGTGATGTATGAAGTGATGGATTGAATGAATGAGTAGTAATTGATTTGAAAACAACTTTTTATTGAGTATATAATACTTAATACTGAGAAATATATTTATATGAATATAACTCACCGTTTGTTTGGTCTTCAGTTTTGACATTCACTTCAAGATTGGATTTGAAATAAACTTTTGAAATTAAAATATATAATAAAATTAAATGAATCATTAAATTCATCGAAAAAAATCAATTTAACAACAAATGAATTACACGAAAAGAAATGATGGTTTGGTTTCTTATCATATGATTTACAAATAGACTTATAATGAATGACAGAAATAGTAATAATAATTAATTTAGTTGTAAT